AGGTCAAGTACCGTGAAGCGACGAGTCAACAACTAGTTTGAACCATTGGAGACATCTGGTGGACAGAAGTTGCTCTAGTCAGGATCGAGAGGATCCTAACTCTACCCGCGACGGGGCGGGGTGATTTCGGGGCGTTGATTCCTCGAAACGGGTGAAGGGGCCTGGGCCGGGTGGAAGAAGCGGTGAAGGATATAACGGCGTTCACCAAATGGCTACGTTCGCGTAGCTGTACGTTGTCCTCCGAATGTTGCACCGAGTTCCGATGTTCCCACATATGAAATCCAAGCAAGATCAGCTGATGCGACAGGCGAGAGATCCACAGGGCCGGAGAGCGTTGGCTCCCTCGTGACTGAAGGTCCTGTTCCTGCAGGGCCGCCCAGGGCCACTGAACAGACAGCCGGCCTTCCAATAAACATTGGTAGCCGATGCGTTGTTGGGAGAGGAAAGCGGGGCGAAGACGAACCGGGACCAACCGACTGCAAGGTAGGGACGGATCACTAACCCCTTGAAGAAGATGGAGGACAGCGTGTTTGGTGGCTGGGTCAGTGACTTGGGTGTCCAACCATTGGTCCAACGTCGCCGTCTGGCGCTCCCATTCCGCACTTGCCGAGGGCGCCATACATCGAGGAACATGAAGGTGGTCCTCGAACTCGCCACAGCAGGGGCACGCAGCTGAGTCTGCGGAACCCCACCGGACTTTGAACTTCCCTATACCACACATACCCACGACATGCTTTGTGGTCCAACGTTGGACACCTGCCGGAAGGGAGCTCATGGCGCGAGCCAGACTGGTCCAATCGGTCTCCAGCTCTGCCTCTGGTGTAATCGTCTGCCGATCGTGCCATCTCTTGCGTAGAGCAGGCGGTGCCACCAGTTCCTGGACCTGTTCTGGATTCAATAGCGACTGTTTGACGTCACCGATGTAGAGGGCAGCCAATTCGGTAAAGAAACGAGCGTTGGGTGCAATCAGTCGGTGTGAAGCTTCGAGCTGGTGGCAATAAGCAACCACCCACGCATCCACTTCCACATTCAGTTTGGACCACCAAGAGAGGCAGGAAAAGGATGTCGCCTGATCAAGGTGACCATACCCGTGGCTAGGTTCCCACGAGGCCCTGGAGCGGGCAAGTGCCTCCCGGATAGAGGAGACCATGTCAAACTGGGCTTGTTGCGGTGTGGCTCGGTTGTCACTAAAGGTGTTGAGCAACGCCGAAAATGCATCGCACGCAATCCTGACGCGGGGTGGTGATCGAAGTGTTGGTGTTGGGATATGACGAAATATAAGTTTTTACGTTCCAAAAGAAACTATTCAAGTACGAGGTTTTTGACACGTGCGATCGGACTTTGATCGTGATGTCGGGATTCGATGCAAGTCTGCCGGACGCAAGTCTGTCGGACAATCTGTATCCACACAAACAGGAAAAGATCCTGTACAAGTGGAATATTGATGTTGTGTATGATGCAGTAGGGAATAATGCAAGATGTCCCAAAGTACTGCATTCAACAC